TCCGCCGGAGGCGGCGGCGCCACCCATCGCCCCCTCTGAGGAGGAACCTGCTGAGGGGGGGTGAGTAAACCGGAAAGGGGAGAGAATACATAAATCCATTTAATGGATTTCCCTACCAATTTTCGAATTTTTTATTTCCTCTGTTTGCGCGCGCAGCGCGCGCAAAGGGTGTCTGCGGCTGCTGAGGGGGGAGTAAGCCGCCAAGGGGAGTGAATAGAAAAAACATTTTTTTGATTTCTTTGGCAATTTTCGATTTTTTTTTCCTCTGTTTGCGCGCTCGGCGCGCGCAAAGGATCCCCCAGTGGCCGAGGAATGCCGTACTGAACGTGTTTGTTTGCGGTGGCGCAGGGACTCCCTCACCCTGAGGATGCGCGTCCCCTCCTGGGGGGACGTTTGGAGATGCGCTGGGCGGTGGGACGAACACGGGCGGACCGTCCACCCTGCCTGCCCCTGGTACAAGGCCGCCGTCACCCCCGCCGAACTCGTCTTCGGCTGCAAGGCCTGCTGGCTCAACAAGGGCCGGCGGTGCTGGGTGGCGGCGGGCCCCCCTCCCACCGGCGCGGAGCCCCGCGGCCCCGTGGCCGCCGCCTGTGCCGCCACCGCAATGGTGGGCCTGGCGGTGGGTGGGTCCGCCCGCGCCCTGGGTCGGGGGCCGGCGGTGCCGCCGGGGCCCGCGCAGCGTCCCCGTTCCCCCTCCGGCCATGGCCACCTCCAAGGGGCGGGTGGACTTGCGGGGGGAGGCGTTGCGGCGGGTGCGAGGGCGGCCGGCGTGGCAGCGGAGGGCGGCGGTCGGCTGTCTGCTGAGTTGATCCGGCGGGGGGTCGCCGTTGACCACGTGGGCAGCCCCGGCCTCCTCGACACTTTCATGGAGGCTTTTCGGAGGGCCGGCGGGCGCTCCGCCCCCCCCAGGGGGGTGGATATGCGGTGGGATGCTCCCGACCAGCCTTGGCCCACGCACGCGCCATGCCGGCCGCCAACCCGCCGGGTGCAGGGGGACAGGGCGGCCCGGGGTGGTGGTTTGGCAGGGGGGGGTGAAGGGCGGTGGGGTGGGGAGGGGGTGGGGTACCGGGACGAGGTGGATGGCGGGGGGGAGTGGTGTGGTCCGCCAGGGGAGTGCGAGCACGAGGGGCGGCGCGGCGGATGGTAGAGGTTGTTGGGCTGTTCGGAGGGGCAGGGTCGGTGGGTGTTGACTCCCCACTTGGGAGCTGACGTTGTGCTGTAAATTTTTTGTAACCACTTTTTTGAGATTGTGCTGTGTATCGCTGAACGTGTGTTGTAAATGCGCTCTCCCTCTACTGTTTGTTGTGTACTCAAATGCAACAATATTTCGCACAAACACGTCCATTTTCAGACGTCCAGTCCTGCGCACAACCGTTTCGCCAAAATAATCACATAACAACAATGCTGCGCACAAATGCTCCTATTTGGACCTTACCGACATTTTGCACGAAAGCTTGTTCCTTGTCTGCCATGGTGCCATAATTCCTCATGGCCAGCCTTACGCAATCATGCGTGTTGCTCCAATTTCCTGACAAAACTGCCAGGCTTGTCATTTTGGACTCCTGGGATGCGCGCCAGCACCTTTGCGTTGTTTCTATTGCCCGCTGCTCAAGCATGTCACCTTGGAAAAATGATTTTGGCAGCGCACAGGCCCTCCAACGATAGCATGCTGCGAGTCAGAACGATGTGCTTCAAGTATTGGGCAGGCACATGCTTATGCTGACCTTTTTGTCGATCGGTTGCTCTCACGCAGTCTTTTGCTTGTAACTTTGTGAACAGCATGTTTGCCATCATTCTGAGCCTTCGATGATGTGTTCACACGATCTATCCACTGAATTCTGGATCTTGACGACCGGCGAATACTTGGAAAGCACCTCGTGTACAGAGATTGTCCAGGGATGCAGGCTCACAGTGGGCGGCCCCTTGTTCCGCCGAATCGCAGCCGCTCGAGCTCCTCGCAGGCACCTGCTTATCAACTCCCAGGAGTTCGAGACTGAACGCGCCAGCAGGTGTCCAACTGTACCGTTGTCGGTTGCGTCTGCAACTGTCAACCAAAGTACAAGGGTTATCTGTGTACATGGGCTGGAGAGGTCCATCCTTTCAAGCGTGGACAGTCATGCCCAGCGGTGACGGTCACAGCGCGCAGTGACGCCTTTGCGCGCCCCAAGGCTGCCCGCGAGGTGGAGCTGCCGGCAGCTGTGACGCCCTCGCAACTAGCCAGCGAGGCTGCGGGGGCCGCGCACCGTCGCGTGCATGCACCAAGTGCCCAGCGCTGCTGTCGGCAGACGCGCCCGTCTCCCCGCTGGTTGCCCTCCATCCCCCTCCTGATCCCACTAACGCGTCTGTCCCTGTGTGTTGCGGGGGCAAGGCTTTCAACGCAGCATACATCGAGGCCTGGCAGGTGACTCTCCTGTCGCCGCCGCACGGGGGCACATCGGTCACACGCCGGCCTGCGGCTTCACTGAAAGGAGAATCCGCCGCCAAGGTGCTTGGTGCTGAGTGCGGGCGACCGGTCGTCGGATGCTGTTTGTCATACGCCCAGATCAGGGGACCGCAACAGCTACCCTCGGCAGGGGTCATGGTGGGTTGTGTGGATAGTGTTGATGATCTTCAGCAACCTGTATGGTTCGATCATGGACACGATGCTGCGGTTGGCGGAACCTGTGCTGAGGTAGATCGTGGAATGGACACCGACAGTGCGCAGGACTGTTGGGTGAATGTGATTTCATCCTGGACAGAAAGACACCTGAAACAAAAAGGGGCTCTCCTAACTTGGAACGACAACGATGTAGTGCCGCACGCCGCCTTGTGTTTAGAGATGCGTGTGAAGATTTCCGAGGTTCCAGGGCGCTCGCCCAACTGTTCAACTCAGTAGAAAGAATAAAAATAACTGACCCAAGATCCGGCTGAAGTCAACCTTGTTGGCCAGAACTCCTGGGCCTCCTGACACTGCAGAGGAGGAGACATGGCCCTGTAGACGGACCACCACCCAGAATCCCACAGGCCAAAAATTGTTCCCCAGTGGCAGAGACATAGGCAGGTCGAAAGGACTGTTCAGTGGTGAATGGCATTTGCTAACACACCTGGACATCTAGCACCACCACGACTGGGAGCGACGATCCCATGTGCGGGAAATGCAGTGGGCTTCTCACAAACCTAGGAGTGTTGGTGGGAGTCGGGAGTGACACAATAGAGGTGCCAACCGTTAATGGTGGGAGTTTGATGTCGTGCTGGGCACTTTGGCTGTGAGAATGATAGAAGAGAAGAACAACACCCCGCATCCCTGTTTGTTGAAGTGAATCATGATCCGATAATTAGAACCACTGACGAACAGCTGTGGAATGCAATTCAGCACCGATTGCAAAATATAGGCGAATGGGGGGTTCTTTTGCAGCCCAAATGTGTAGGATGCTATTGCATTTGGCTGGAGAAATCGTGCATGGCACCCTTGTTTCTTGCTTGTCAGTTTGTGTTTTGTGCAGGCAACAAGGCCATTGGCTAGAATGGGCATTGAGGCCACACTGCTCAGCAAGCTGAAGGCTAGAAACCTGAACACGGCTCAGGATGTCCTCACCTCGACACAGCTCGATTTGATTGAAATCCTGGAAGATGTGACTGAAACAGAAATAGAAGCATTGGTGCTAGCAGTCAGCAAGCATGTTGCACCAACTCCAGCTAGGGTGAGCGATTTGCAATGCTGGCTCAACTAACTTCCTGTGTTTCACAGATGACAAGATCCACAGCCAGGAGGGCACGCATTGATTTGATGTGTGCCGATATTCTTGTCACTGCATAATACTGTTGTGTTAGATTTTGTTGTGATTGGATGTTTGGATAAACATGTTGTGATGCCAACTTAACAGCGAGGACACAGGACATTCAAGTAATCAATTTCATCGTTGCAGGCTGCTGCCTGCACTGCTTCGTTTTTGCCAAAGTAATTTTCATTTTGCATAGTCGCAGTATTTTTCATTTTGCATTTTACATAGCTTCTGAGAAATCATCTTTGAGCATACCTGCTATTGCAACTGGAACAAGGAATGCACACTTTCCTGGGCAGCAATGGGTACTCGATATTTGTTTCCAATTGTTGTGGTGCACCTCAGCCTATGCCTTGCTTCCAACTTCGGTGCTAATACTCTGGCCCATTGGTTCATTGCCTCTGTCAGCAGGCCTATGAACTTCAACATCAAACGACTCCCAAAGGACGCCACCTGCCCACATGCATTCAGGTGCGGACAGCCAGGCTCCAGTTTTTGTTCAGGTGCAGGGTTTTACGCCAAAGCCATGGCCATGGGCAGCTGCTCACCCTGTTCAGAATGTGTTGGCCTACTGTGCGGGCCTGCTGGCAGCTTGGGCACAAAGCCAAAACAGAATGTGAAAAGGCTGCCCTGGCTGCAGGAGCTAGACACTGCCTTGAGAGGAGGCATCCCGAGCGGTAGCTTGACAGAGCTGGTGAGTACTTGAAACCAAAGGCGTGTTCACTGTCCATTGCTCGCTGTAAGCAATATTTACTGCACATTGACATCAGCTTCAGAGCTGGACTTTTCACTCATTTCGTCTATAGAGCTCTGTGTTTTGGGCACTGTAGATCGTGTCGCTGTAGAACATCGCAGATTTTCACTGATAACTTACATGATTACTTGATTGTCAGTTTAACAGGGATTGGTGACCACTCCGTGCAGCACGATTTCATCATACTCCCGCACGCATGTGCATTAGTAACTTCAACCCTGACTTCGCTTTCGTGGCCGGTACCCGTTTGTTTGTTTGAACCCATTGTATCCTTTGATGGGCCTGACTTGGGCCACGTTCAGATTTCGTCCTAACAGCATCTTTAGAGCATCTTTATCGGTCGGTGCTATTGCACCGGCGGAGCTATCCAGGAACGGTTGTCACTGGCTGCCGTGCCACCTTACTAATGCGGCATTTGCCAAATAGCACTGGTGCCAGTGCTACCCTGCGCACATGTGTAACGTTGGGTGCTATTGCTGTGCCAAATAGCATCAAGCTGCTGTTGCTCACCATTAATGATGTTTTTTTGACCTGTGGTGCTATCCAGTTGACTGAATAGCACCTCGGGGACAATAGCATCCACGGATAAAGATGCTCCAAGGATGTGGCTGCTATCATGGTATGGTGTCCAGTCCTAGTTACAACAAACATTGGGCAAAACCGGACGTGAGCAACTCCCCAATTTGAATATACAACAGTGAATTTTGGCCCCATATTCTGGGCTCTGGCGATGTAAAGTGGACAATTGCCATATGGCATAGCATTGAATTCATGTGTCCATTCCGCTTTGCAGCCAATTGCAGCAGGGTCACTGCAGCCAGTGCCTTGCTTGTATGTGTTGCATGAGAAGGAATTAGCCAGTTCTGTGACTGTTCCCAGGTTGGACCTGCAGGTGTGGGGAAAACACAATTCTGCCTCCAACTATCTGTTTCGGCAGCCAAACCACGACATGCAGGCGGGTGAGACAGAGGTTGCTATTCCTTCAATCCCCTTCTTGGTAATGGAAACCACAATCAACCACACACAATGTGGTTAAGGGCAGTGTGCACATCCACATTCTGGCCAGCGGATGGGGAAAGAAGCGGGGGGACTGGAGCTTGAAAAATTATTGCCAGCATGACCGCTGCAGCTCACAAGCAAGAAATTCAGGGACACTCAAACATTGCGCAGCATTATGAAAAACAAAACGGCTTAAAACCTCTCTTTGTTTTGGCTTGCATTCATAGCACAGTATCAACAGCAATTAATCCAATGATGAAAGGGGACAAAGATAGCCAAGAGATGTTGGGAAGTACTTGCATTTTGACGAGTAGACATTCTCATCGCTGCTTTCGAATGTTGGTCTTAGGCCAGTTTCAATTTGGAACCTGTCCTGAGGACACGCTTTTGTGCATAACAGCGGACATGGCCGATGATCAGGTGTCACTATGGCTTGTTGAGCTTTGGCCCCAGACGTTGGCAGCCATAGCGTGCCCATTCTATGCAGAGTGCTGCAATGTACCACGCCATACCGTAGCTTTCCAAAGCGCACTGCGCTTTGCCAGCACAGATAGTAGCAGTATGATGCAGCACGTAGTTGAAGGCTGGCTTCTTGTAGTTGGCATCAAATCCGGCAAGAGTAATTTCAGCGTGGGGCCAAACGACTTGACTTGTTGTTCGCATCTCTCAGAAGCGACGCGGCGAGTCAATACCTTGCACCATGAAGGCACTGCTGGGCTTATCTCTCCACAAATTGTTTGCTTGGATCGCATTGTTCATAGTGAGTTCTACTGCCGCTCTGGAAATGGGAATTGCTCCCAGGAATGTAACTCAAAATGTGCGAGCAGCGACCTGCCACCCATCTGCTGCTGTGCTGTGCTTCCAAAACCCTGCATCCCTCTCACCCATCCCTGGCAAACGGTCGTACAGATTGGTATCTCATATCTCATGGCTGAATGGCCCCAAAATGGAATGTTCTGTGATATGTCTATGGCTTGCATGGAGCTGTGAGCCAATGCGCATCTCTTGAAGGCGATGGCGGCCCAATGCTGAAACAGTCCCACACCCTGTCAGCTGATTTGCAGTAGCAAAATGCGTCCACGCTGGGCTTGTTTTTGTCTTTTGAGATGTCCCTGTGCCTCTCAAACATTGATGCTGCCCATGGATTGCTTGAGGTCTGACCATTTTTGCTCCTTCTGTGCAGATTAGGACGTCATGTGCATTACTTTGACACCGAAAAGAAATTCACATCGAATAGGTCAGAGTCCCCACTGCTCATCAGACGCTTGCCACAAAGCTAGCCTGTCGGAATCTCGTATAAAGATTGTGGCCAAGTGGACCCGCTCTTTTGGCGTGACCCAGCAGGGATCAATGACATGCGTGAATGCACCCTGGTAGCGGATTCAAAGATTCAGCAGCTGCCTTACTGGCTTGTCTCTATGTATCTTGCGTGATGGTCCATACAAAACACAATATGCCGCCTGTTTGGCGATGCCTGATTATGGAGGATGTGAATCAGATGGGCCATGACAGTATAAATGCACAAGCGGAAGTTGCTGTGGTTTGTCTTGCCGAAAACAAGTTAGGATGCTATCGTTGCAGTGGTTTACACTGACCACCATTAGTAAACCTTGTGCAAGCAGCTCACCTGGAGAACGTGTGTCCAGTGTGGCTCTGTCGGGGCCACGGCCTAAGCCAACGACCGGTGGCGATTAAGTGCATTTCCACATTCACTACATCTGTCTCAAGTATCCAACAATATTTTGCAGGGCCGTGCCATTTTGGAGTGCTTTATGTCCATGCATGGGGGATCAGCCTATGGCAACTGCTGTAGCATGAATGCTTAAGCCAGTGCTCTTCATTATGGGCAAATTCGCTCAATTGCACCAATCATGCGTTCATATTGTTTCCAGGGTTGCTGAAATAGCTGAACACCAGATAGGTCAGGTGCCGGGGTCGAAGAATCTTGTTGAAGAAACGCTGGCCAATATAAGTGTGATGAGGCCAGGTACCGCTGGTGAATTGCTGCAGAGCATCAAGGTGTGATTTGCACTTCATGCGGTATTTGTTTCTTTTGTCTTTTCATATTATTTTCCAAATTGGGTGCACCACCTTCGTTAGCGATGCAGCGTTTTGTGCAGTATCTCTGGTGCGCACGCGGCATTTTGTTGGGAGAACCTGGTTTGACGTCTCCTTATCCCGAATACTGCATTGCTTTTCAGAGTAATACTTCGGGATCAAGAAACATACAAATTTTGGTATTGCTTTTATTGATCGGATGACGTTGAAGGATTCCATCATATAACTTTGAGTGTCAACAGAAAGTAGCAACAGGTTAAAATTCTGCAAGAACGCTGATGATTTGGAAGCTCATCTTCTGAACGGGCCCCTACATTATCTTTGTGTGGTCATCACGGCGGCCAAGGCAAAAAGTGAGTATACACTGCTGGCCTCACATGAGCTTGCCTGGCTGTGGGGCCTGAATAGAATTCCAGCACATGACCGAGGCCATGCATGCAAGAATATCTTCAAGCGATGTGCAAGATAAAAGCCATAATTCTCTCCGCCCAGATTCTGTCTTTCCCGGGATGGTAGTGTTTGAGCCAGCCACTGCTGTGCACAGTCATTGGAGTCTTCGATCATCGAGCTACAAGTGGGACTGGTGTTGCTCGACAGTGTGGCGGCTCTTGTGCGCACGGGCTATGGACACGAGCAACTGGTTGAGAGGCAGGAAATGCTGGGCCTACAAGCCGCCTCCCTCAAGTATCTTGCACAGATATTTGATATTCCGGTTGTTGTGACGAATCAGGTATGCGGGGTATGAAAAACTAGAGGACGTGGCAGACCATGGGCACTTCCTGAGTCCAATGCAAAGCTGGTTCCACTGTTAGGCACTGCAACACCTTAGAGTGAAAAAGCGGAATGAAGGGCCTGTGGTCCACCAAGTCCGTTCATACTGAGGGAAGACACTATTTGGAATTTGGTAGGCTTAGCGTCAAATGGACGCTAAATGGACGTTGTGGGTCTGAGCTAAGCGTCCGTTTGACGTCAAACGTACCAAAAATCAAAACAGTCCTTCCCCTAAGAATGTTGCAGGTGGATACTCTTGACACAAGGGACTGAGAGTTGCATGGTAGGCAACAGCAGCACGCTTACAAGTGCCACGTCGGAAATTTTCAGCATAGAGATTTGAGAACAACGTATTGTGATGCGTTGACACATTGATTATTTCGACTTCCCATTCACACAGTTGCAAAATGTACAGTCCCACTTTGTTTCTGCTCCAGTGGCGGTTACAAGGGAGTTTTGGGGTCTGCTGGGCAGGTGATGGCAAGGTTCCAAACCCAGAGCACACCAGGTCCCGAAGCTTCTATCCAGGCTTTTTCCAGATCGACGACGCCATTGCATGGGCACCCAGATCAGGGCTCGCGACTGGCAACAGCGGCCGATTCAAGCGTTATGGCTGCACTTGGCACCAAATGGGCGCACTGCGTAAACACACGGCTTGTGCTGGAGAGGGTGGGGCAGGGCAGATGCATCAAGGTTTGTAGCCAGCTGGCCTGGTTGCTGTCCTATCCATGGCTGTTCAACAGAGGAGATTAGATATTTTGCACTGCCCAATGCAGAGTCATGCTGCTGCCAAACACATTTTCGACCTCTGGATCACCCATGCCCATACGTTGCTGCCCATCCAGGCCCACATGTACTACTTGTGCCTCAAGAAACAAGAATCCAGCGCATTTGTCAGTTGTGGCACATCCTGCCAATGGCGATTTTGTGTCTCCAATGTCCATGAAGAAGAAAAGGCAGAAAAGTTCCCAACAACCAGCAAAAGCTGTTTGTGGTTCTCCGGTAGCACATTGCAACTTTTGTGTTTCTCTCCCTGCATGTACTAGGAGGCTCCAGTGCAGAATCGCTGTGCCATGGTGCTGTCCAGCAAAGTCTGGCAGATTTGTAGCCTGTTCAGTTTTCCAAGCCTCTGCCTTTGTGCCATGCCCACAGATAGCGAAATCGCCGTCCTGCCCGAATGCAGCAACTGCGTTTCGGATTACGCACCGCGGCGTTGAAACCGATCACCTGGCTTCAGGAGTGGCTGACCTGGAGGGGGATGTGCTGGCGATGGGTATCGCCAACGATGCTGCTTATGACATGTAACAGGACTTCCTTGCCATGGCGGTAAATGCTTGTTTTGTGTAGCGAGGTGTGGTGATTTCTCGCCACGACAATTCTGGCATTCTGGCAACCGGCGCTTGCCCCGAGCTTCTTTGATGCCACGCAATTGTTGACATCCATCGGAAGCTGCAGGAGAGTCGGTGGGGGGGAAGAGGCGGGGAGGGTGACATAATGAGGGGAGAAACATACGAGAATCAAGTCAACGTTATGATCATTGTTCTGCCATGCTAGTTATCATATCTAGCTTGTCGAACACTCCTCCATATTCACATTGAAATAACGGAAGACACTGTTTTGGTGTGCTTAGCGTCAAATTGGCGCTAGGGGGGGAGGGGGCGCAGACCTGTGAAGCTAAGAGATGATGTAATTGCCACAAAATCGACATAAGGAGGGAAGGTGCCCAACAACGTAACTGATAAGCAGCAAACAGCCCGTGACTTGATCCTAAACCTCCTGCAAATGCTTAAACTTTAAAAAATGCATTAGAATGGATCAATTTGCGGCCAGTGAGGCTGCCCGCTTCACCTATAATGGCAGTTAGAATCCCATTTTTCAACCCAATGCAGTCCATACACCTTCGACTATTTACTCCCCTCAAAACGACCTAGAAGTTGCATACCACACATAAGCATCGACGCTACGGAAGGGCGGGGGGGGTGGGGGGTGGGGGGTGGGGGGTGGGGTTGAGCTTGACTCCATGTTGACTCTAAGTGTACCGAAATCAACATAGCGCCATCACTAAGCTACTCAAATCGCACAGTCCTATTGTAGACTGTGCTGAAACATTAGGAACCAGTATTGTTCATATTGAAAGCTTACACACAAGCCAATAAATGCGAATTGTTCATCAAGCCGTCACAATACAAATATGTACTTCAATAGTCATCAAATAGTCTGTTGTCAAGCCATGATTTAAAACCGCCATTTTATCTCTGCTTTTCATCTGCATCAGTAATCGTCCCCGCAGTGCTCATGTTCGCCCATTCCACCCATCATTTCGCACATCTCACGGGTTGTCCCACTTAGCAGCTGTCAAGCAGTGTCGCAGTTCATCAATGCATACTGGGGTGCTGTGATGGAAACAACCACCTCAGCGCGACTCCCAATCGTCAGCAATTCTTCCCAATAGAATGAAGGGCTTCAAGCCCTTGCATTTCTGTAGGCCCTGAGGTCGGGTGGCTCATCGACCATATCGACTTCGCTGGTTTTGGAGTTGAAAACCGAAGAATTCTTGATCGATTATCAGGAGGCTTCAAGGCAGATATTTGCTGACACAACTGGACGACAGCGATCGACGCACTGCCATGACGACCATGATTCAGTTGATGGCGAAAATTGATGAGGGTTTTCACCATTCATCTAATGCATTGTAAGACTGCTTACATGCAATGCGATTTGAAATCTCATCTATAGATCATGCCTACTCTCTTCATGCTCACTGATCGCCAATGCGATGCAGTGGCTGAAGTGGGTTCCGCTCGCTCAAGTTGCAGCAGCATCACCTTGGGGGGCTCGCATTTATCTCCCATTTCTCAACGGCTGCACAGCTGCAGCCCCATCAGACACCATGTGTGCCCAGCAATGTTGCGCCCAGCATTGCCAGGCCAGGATATTCGCCCTCAACACACGCTATGAAGAGAACCACAGTTGGCGACGTTCTTAGCTGTATACCCGCCCGTCATCGTCTACCAAGGTGCAAGGGCACCGCTTTGTCTTGTCAATGCAATTTCAAGGACAACATCCACAGCTTAACCACACAACATCCACACCTTAATGCGACGTTCATGCCAGCCAGAGGAATGCCACATCGATGGTTCCACAGTCAACTGTGTGTGTGTGTGTGCATGAGATGTATACTTTTAGCCCTGCAGCAGCATCTGCAGTTGTGCTTGAGTAATGGCAAACAGAGTTCACCGTGGTGCATACATTTTCAGCCAGGGCGATGCATCGATCCGTGATGGCGGCCGGCGCTGACGACTTGTTTCTCTCGTTGGCACATGTCTTATGACATGTTTTCGCCACCATCTAGGTTTCCAACGTGGCCAAGCCCCGCTGCAACACCCTGCAGTATTGATGACATCGACAACGAAATCCGTGCTATTTTCTTTCCTATTACCTGGTTAGCTCCCTTTGGCGACTCATGCCCCCACTGAGTTTGGAAGTACCACTGGCTGCACCACCGCATCTTCTGACTCGCACTGCAAGTCACCCTTGTGGCCCGGAGGGTCCATGAACCGTGGGAGCATCCTTGAGACAGACCAAAGGGGTGGTGGGTTCATCCTGGAATGCTGCCAGCCAATGCAACTTTGAGCGCCCCTGGCACGCAACTGCGTATATCAGGTGGACACTTTCCACATCCCTGGAGGCCCAGGGTCCAACATATTGCTTCCCGACCGGTCTCCACCGATCCCACCCATACGTCTGCACAAACCAAGACGTTAACATTACAGCCTCGTATCCCGAGGCTCAAAAACAATTTGTGCCCAGTCGCTTCCCTGGTAGGCATGCTGTTACGTAAATGTGACTCACCCTGAGTCGGACCCCACACCCTGCAATTGACTCCCTCTCCGTCCAGAACTTCAGTCTCTAGGGCGGTAAGCACTATTGTACACACAGCGTTCGCGTGTATGCAACAATGTCCACGTCATGACCCGCACACCACACTGCGGGTCGACATTCTGGACAAAAAACTCGGCGTCCCCAAGTTGCGTCGCCGGACCAAACCTGCATTTGTGCCAATGTCCAAGGAACGCCCCGACCTCACCATATCGTTTTTTTTCGTCGCCTGAGCAACAAGGCAAGCACTCACAACAGAATATGTGTTTCGGTGCGTCAAAAGCTGCAGGCCCTAAGGCACCATAAATCATGAACTCACTGGCCGTGAGTCGAGGACTCACCGCACTCTGTAGCAATCACACAAAAGCCCGGAGAGCTCTCCAGCCCTAGAAAGCTGGTTTTGCAAACAGGGTCTCGAACTCCGCCAGTCGCATGTCAGCCCTGTCCGACTTCAGCGACCCAGCAACAACGTGCTTTCCCGCATGCTTAGAGGCTTTTGTGTTCTCTTGTTGTTCGCCCATCATCCCCTTCTCCTTCACGACCTTTATAATGTTCTCTTCAATGGAACCCTGCAGCACAAGAGGTGTTGAATGAATGAAGCAGCTTGGAAAAAAGCAAATGCGATGCTGCTTCAAATAGACTCTGGATGCAAATCTACAGAGAACAATTGCACAAAGCCAAGAAGACGAATGGGCTGGCGTGTGAAGATTGTCCTTTACAGAAAATGAACCAAGAAACTAAGACATAGAAACAGAGGAAACAGGGATAAAAAAAGAAAAAAGAAAGGAGACATGACATGCACTGGCCATATCCCCCCTGAGGAAGGAGTTTGCGGGGGCCTCTTCTGGACGCCATGGCAGGTGACCAAATGTCTCTGACCGCTGCAGGAAAAGCAGGCAAAGCATGGGTACACCAACGTGCATCCCACCTTGACAAAGAACTTCTTCACTGTGACCTGCCGCTGCTGCCCCATGCGCCAGGCCCTTCCGATGGCTTGCTCCTGCAAGGCAGGGTTCAGGGGCGGCTCCAAAATGAAGACATGGGATGCAGCTGTCAGGTTGATGCCCATGCCGCCACTCCTCATGGATAGCAGGAAGACTGTGGTGGGCGGGTCCTTTTGGAAGGCGGCGATGGCCTCCTTGCGCCGCTTCATTGGCATCGAGCCCGTGATGGTGCGGTAGGCAAAGCCAGCGGCACTGAGGGGGCCTGTCAGGGCGTTGAGCGTGGCGGTGTACTGGCTGAATATGAGACACTTGGGGGACGAGCAGGTCTTGACCATGTTCTGTGCCGCCACAGTGGCCGTCATGGATCAAAACATACTAAACAAAGATGCACAAAACATGGATCATGCTAATAGAGTGGAATCGAAGGTGACTGGTGCATAATGGTGTTCTGATTTGCACTGAAGAGCATCAATGTAGGTGAAATGGCACATACTCAGTCATCCAAATATATATTCCTGTGTCGAATTTCGAAGGTAGAACTGCAAAAGCTGGCCATGTTGCTTGAATACGGCCATTGCCAGTTCTGTTCGGATGTTCAGCATAGCACCCACTGCACAATCCATCATACCAGGCGAATGTGCACAAGGGCATTGCTTGAGCAATCCATTGCTACTCTTGTGGCATCAGTTGCAGGACATATTTTGAATAGTGCCCACCAGGGCCACACATCGCTAATGTCATGATGCTCACAAATTGGTGACGTGAAGACAAACTGAACATGTACCTTTGTGGACATGTACTTTTGCAGGATGCAAGTGGCGAGAAATGCTGGATGGAGCTGTGCATTCTCAACCAAAACTGACGAAATAAGCACATCCAGAAAAGCATGATGCCAAGCCACATGTCACATGGAAACCACAACTCCTGGCACTGGTAAGGCCATAGAATGTAGAGAAAACAGACACACATGAACCGCACCTGTCACACATGTCACACCCAATGCATAAAAAACGCAGAATCTATCGTACAGCTCTGCAACCACTACTGACAAGAATGCTGGCAATCCAGGCTGCAATGAACCCAGCCATTTTGGCATTTACATCTCTCTTCTAACCTTAATATGTGAACAAGACAAAAATCACAAAAGCCATCATCCACAGAAATGTATGCGGAATATACAGCAATGCGCCTTGACTGCACTGCTGGTGATGAGAAGCCTTCAGTGCATCGGTTTCTAAATTTCTTCTGATAAACTGTTTATTTTCCAGTACACATGCCAGATGCATGGAAACAAACAACCGGCAGGACGGAACACCAACAATAGAACTTTAGGACAATAGTTTTTCTTTTCCTTTGATTGCAGGGTATTACATCCAGAATATGAAGCAGCATTCTGAAAGAAAAACAACAGTAGTATTGGGCAATATTATAGTTTGCGCTGAAGAGGCACAGCATCTCCACGTTCCTGTTTGCTCACATGGGGGCACAGTCCTACCTTTAGCTCGGAAACAACTGCATCGAGCTTGCTGGTGAATGCAAAGACCTCCCCTGAGGCATCGGTGGGAGTCTCTGCCTCCTGTTTCAATCTGGCCTCCTGCACGATGTCACTGTGGAGTTTGCCATCCACCAGTTGGCCTCTTGCGAATGGCTGGCAGCATGAGGGGCACCTGCCATTGGGGACAGAACTCATCAACAGATGAAGAACTGTCTAAGGTGGACAATTCCAGGGCCCCTTTTGTTTCTGACTTAAAATAATGTGAGTACACACATCAGATTCAAAGTTTGGAAACAAGAGAATAAGTATTTCTAGCCCCTTCACCAGCATGGAACAGGAGACATCACACTGGCAAACATTGACACTCCCTGTGATCTTGTTTGGATTCAAACGACTAAAGACACCAACATAGTGGCAAGAACACGCACAAGCATCACACCGCATTGTACCAACTTTCGGGTGGACTCTGAATTGCGATGCAATGTTACTAGTTTGCAAAACGGCAGCAACAATATCTGTAAAGAAAGTGACAAAACACCAGCATATGGAAACTCAGCACATGACTTGTCAGGCGACTGCCTGGATGACTGGACGCACAGGCAGTATTGGCCAGGCTCTCAGTCAGGGGATGATCCACCCTAGCAGTCCTGAAACAGCTGTTGCTGATAGAAGGGGCACAAGCCCATCATTGTGTGCTTTCTGTTCTTGGTTGATTCTATAGTGTTCATCATATGGAAACGAATTCAAGTCGCTTGGTCCAAACACAACTTGTCTGTATCAATCACTGCCAGTCAGCATGTCGCTCATCGCAATTTTTGGACGAACACGGCCTCTGCGACAGAAAGGACCAATGTCACATTGTGAGCAAACCCTCCTGAGCAGGAAGACTGTGAGGCACATTCCCGCACTGTAGAAAATGATGCACAAGGCCCCAAGTGCAACAGGAGCAACATGCAACATAGATAAGCACAGGCAGCAAAAAAAATGCTCACTTTGGCACAAATGGCCCAGAGCCTGATGCATGCAGCTCCATGGCTGCCAGCATGTTGTCAATGCAGTCGCGGCAGAACCAGTGCTGGCACGGCGTTTTTGCAGGCCGCTGCACCTCATCCAGGCATATGGGACACTCGGTCCCATCCGGGGCCACCGGCTCTGTGCTTGCCAGTACTTGTGGATGTGCTGTCAACCAGGAGAAGACGCCACCGATGGCAAGCTCCTGAGACGTCAACTGGCCCCCACTGCACATGCGCCTCAAGGGTTGCAAGAGAGCCATTATCCTGAAGTATTCACTCATGACGTTGAGGTTGTGAGTTTTGACAAGACCAAATTGTTCAGCTGCCTCACGGTGTACCTTCTTGTATGTCTTTGCTTCACTAGGACCTAAAACAACTGCAAGCAGCCAGTCCAGGTCGTCAGCATTCATTGTCAAGACACCTTGGGAACAAAAAGCAAAGTTGCGGATTTTCAAACGGAAGAGCAACAACGTAGACTGGTTCACTTTGTCCATGCGTCACTGTGGGCTGAGGGGCACAGCAACTGGCTAGTACAATGCACAGGGATGCGCAAAGCCAAATTTCAACATGCAAATGCCCTGCCGCACCTGGCACGAATTCTTCCTTCTTCTCAGGAAGTTGCAATATGCTTCGGCCACCAAACATCTGCTTCTTTGTGTGCCGCACCATGCACTTTGACAGCACGTATGACAATTTGGCAATGTCACTTGTACCCTGGCGTGCCAAGCAGTCGGCCCACTTGAAGTTACCATTGAAGCACGTTGAGTTGTCGAGCGGGAACATGTGCAGCGCCTGAAACTGACCCGCTAGGTCGTTGGTGTGTGTGTTGATGGGCGTCCCAGTGCACACCCATCTGTGCGTTGCGATCAAGGCCTGGCATGCCTTTGCCTTGCCTGTGTGTATGTCCTTCACATTGTGACCTTCGTCAAGTATGAGGCGATGCTGGGAACAGCAGACAACAAGTTGCAGTAACCGTTCAGCAACATGACCCAACCTGGCCCAAGGAAACTCAATACCAAGAATCTTTTACGTTTGGTTGCCAGACATTCACACTTTTGCACATACAGAACCCATGAATGAACGTCCAAGCGTTGCCCAAGATTTTCTACAGCATTGGCTTGCAAAGTCTGTGCAACTAACCGAAGTCAAAGTGAGTTTGATTGCTGCTCTGCTTTGTCCTACTCCAGCTGCACTAGGAGACTGTTGCATGACTATCATTAAGTGTGGTTGGTCAGTGGTTGCAACGACACCAGCCTTGTCCATGGGTCACTGTGCCTCATATCTCACAGAAGTGGCACACTGGCAACGTGGCAAGAAAAGTGAGGTTGACTGGACCACTGTGTGAATTTCACACCAGACTCTGAAAAGGCCAAATCGCCAAATGGGCCAGTGTTCAGCCACCAGGTGAGAGTGGAGGTATCCATGAAGTATCTGGACACCAGATGTGGTCAAACAATGACAAATGAAACACCCAGCCAATGCAGCTAGCAGGCGACAAAAAAGAGCACTTCCTAGACACTCAATTGTGTTGACACATCTTGGAACAAAACAGCGCATAGTCCTTCAATTCTTCTTTCACGCTACATCGCTGACAATGTCTTGACTTTGGATAACACCACCACCACCTACTGCCACAATGAGGGGTTGCAAGCCAGGTGTAAGACATTTAGTTTTGCTTCAAAGGGACAGGATGCCTTTCCGCATTCAGACTTCATGCACTCTGTCACACAACTTGGACACCCACCCAGTGAACACTCAAAAGTGCTCTGCAGTTGTTGGTAAAGTCGCTCGCTAGTGTCTCATAAGTCGTGATCACAATGTCATAATGCGCCAGCCTCTCTGGTTGCCTTGTGCGGTCCCCATGGTACATGTATACCTTCAAGGTCCCAGAAAGTTTCTCCATAATCTCGTCATGCCACTGGCCCACAAGGGACACTGGACAGATCACAACAGTCCCACGTGAACGGAATAGTGCAGGTGGTGTGGGTAGAGGCAGGTGCAGACCACTGGCAAGTGGATTCGACAGAACCAATGCCAGCACTTCCACCGTCTTTCCAAGTCCCATTTCCTCGGCTGGCACACACAACTGTTGTCAGATACCAAGATTGTGAGTTCTGGGAGCTGTGAGCTTGTCAGCTGCACATATGGCATCGATGGTGTTCCATAGCCATGTCGCAAATATATGCAGTTGTAAACAAGACATGACTGCAAGGAGATGCATTCACAGAAATCAATGCTGAATCAATGTGAAGACAAGTAGAGTCCATAAGAGACTGCAAACTCTGGAGGGTGCAGCATCATGCCCCAGCGGACGCAAACCAAAATCGGTTTTCATAATCGAGGTTCTGAAGGTCTCTAGCTCTACAGCGGTAATAGCAAAACACACACTGCAGATCCATGTACAAGGAACTGCCATCTCATCCATGGACATCGACCTTTACACAACCCAAGCTGAGGGTGTCAGATGTTCAAGCACACCGATCTTTACTCCACCACTCTCACCTAGAAACCCTCCACTGGACCGATGCGGGCTTTTATGCAAAAGCAGGTTGAATACCGGTGAGTACCAGGTGGTGCCTTGTACGCGCACCCATAACCAGTCCCTGGACCCTCCCCTTCGCTGCTCACAGTCTATCAGAAACTTGAGAGACTGTCTCTGATATGGCAGCATCTGCAGGGCCAGGCCTGGGGGTTGTGCCACCTCCTCCCTTGGCCCGGCCTCCACTTGTTCCAGCAACCTTGGGATTGGGGCAGGAGAGTCGCTATGAATCACGGAGCGATGCCAGTCATGCCAGTTTTCCTCCCAGTCGAACAGGCTGCGGTACATTGCTGCTGCAGAGGGCACACTGAGGAGCATTGCCTTGAGGGTATTTCGGAGCTTGAAGTGGCCATTTCCCAGGCCAGTGCCTTTTGCGAACAGGGTACGCGATCTGTCATGCCGCCAAATATAAACCTGGCAAAGACAGAGCAAGCTTGCGTATGAACTGTTCTTGTCGATCCAAGGTGCTGCATCACATGGAAGACTCGCTGTGGTCCAGTCCCAGACAAGGTTGAGTCAACAAGGGAGGCTTCTGTAGATATGTGGACAACTTTGATGGCCATCCAAGATCAATGGGTGAGAGGCCAGTTTGTGCTGCTGTTGTTGATGATGTCAACTGCACTTTGTTGAACACGGTAGCAATTCAGCTAAAATCGGAACAACAAGCTGAGGCACCTACGAGCTGTGGAACCAACGAAACTGCCCATGGCAAAGCTGTTGCAAGGGTTACATCAGCAAATTTCAGGAGCTTAAAATTTTGCTAAGATAGATGTGTGCAGGATGGTGAATTGTTGTGCACATGGAATCTTGCCTTTGGTGTGAGAAGGCACGAAACAGGCCAACATTTGAGAAGGGGAACCTTGGGTCTCCTGCACATTTGCAGAGATGAATTTTGACACTGACTGCATAATCGAATGGATGCCATTCTGCTATGATGCGAGAATACCAAAAATCCCAGCCGGCAAGGTCACAATAGCACCCAAAGGGGTGGATGATTGGTGGGCTCTGGAGATGACTGGTCGATGAAGATTGTGAACGTGGATGTGGCATATAGGATATACTACTAGTATGCCAGTGGCATTAATGAGCAAGCAATAAAATTGGTGACAACACCTCTTGTTGCTGAAGTGCCAAGCGATGGGGAACTTGATTCATAGTAAGGCACAAAGCACTATATTGAGTAGTTGGGAAGGTGGACTGGGGAATTGCACATACTACACCAGCTTTTCCTTATCAGTTTCTGACTGTGCAAAGCATGTCACTTCTCTGGATAGGTGTGGATTGTATTTCAGCTTGAGCCACAACATAGACATAATGTCCTCTCAAATTAGTATCTCCAAATTCGCATCCTGAAAGGAATGGATTCTGTTTTATACACAGTTGGAATTTCTCTGATAATCGAAATATAATTGATATGTATTCTTGCTCTCCTATCAGATGCCCAGCTTCACGGCACTCACCAGGTAAATGAAAACACCCAAATATTCTGATGTTCAGCCCTGACATATGCAGAATGCCATTGTGAAAGAAAACTACTGATTTGGATGGCAGGCTCCAAGTGCAAGTTTCAAAGCATGCACGGCAATGCACAACCTGCTGACCTCCATTGTTGGCATATCAAGTCACAGCAAAAGGACACAGCAAGCACTGACCAACAGGGCAGATCGCTCATGAACTACCCAATGCACAGATCAATGGCCTTCTCTGTCAGCTGGCGTTGCCAGCACAAAGCTGCACGTTGCACATGTGAGTGGTCAACCGTCCTGCAGAGCTCAGGCCAAAGATGAAGGAGCATCGGCCATTCTCTTCAAAAACCAGCCACAAAGAAACTCAAAATTTGTTCCAGGTCTAACTCCCTGCACAGCCTGTGATCAGCCTGAATGTGTGCTGTCCATTCCATTGAAGCAAACACAGGAATCACCATGCGGGCAGGTTGAATCGAATACCTTTATGTTGAATGTCCCATGGACTGCAGACTGTACTTCCATGGTAGGGTACATGTAAACAAGTGGAGGGACATTGCGCCTTTCACCATCTTTGACAGTGACACTGCAGAGGCCGGCGCGGGTCAGTTCCTCCAGTGCCAACATTGGTAAACACGCCAATTGGTGTTGCAGGTCATCATTTTTTTTCGTGTCCCTCCAAGCTGCTCTGAGGGCTGTGAAAAACAGACAAGGGTTATTACTGGCTAGACTGCTTCAGCACCATATCCAATACTGGTATACATACTATCACAATAAACAGCACTGGTCAGCGCTTGGCACCCACGGCTACACCCAGGCAAAGGAGGCAGACAAAAAATGGTGGGCTTACACAATACTGTCTACGCCAAATACACAGCAGTGCTTTGGATATCAGGTCCTGTTTTTTCAAGCACTGTCACCATCTGCACTTTTGTGCATGCCTAGACACCAACCATGTCACATCGCCTTGTACCAAACATTGGCCCTCAACCATGCAGTTGGGAATACTTGGAGAATGGCTTGGAACATCAGGAATACTGGAATACTTGGTACACACAATTTCATTGTATGTGCACTGCAGGAGCGAAACAGGAAGTCCCTATTCCATAATGCCTGGCATCTCCAGGTTGTTTTTCCTTCTTACTTTCAGTGCTCCCGTAATACTTGGTTCTGGAAGAAAAGGGTACATCCCTCAACCAACTTGTGATCGACATTTTGCAACGGCCTGAATGCCCTCGACAAACAACCATGACCCGTGCTCAGCAGCAGGCAGGAACATTGTGAACAGGAGTGACAATTTCATGGGGAACATCAATTTTTGCAACGATCTGTTGGACATACCTTGACACGTGAAAGGCCAGGTCTTTGACAAATTTTGACGGCTGTATTCAAGGAGGACTGCACTACTGGGAAAGACAGACCTCTCTAGCAAGCGATGAAATCTGTTGTTGCAGTGCTCTGGAATAGAAAAGAACACCTGCAATTTGTTTTGCATTGTTTGTGGTCCAAAAAGAACACATGCAACTTGTCTTTGCAATGATCTGGAATTGACAAAGGCACAATTGCTGCTTCTTTTGCAATGTTTTGGAATCGACGACAGAAACACATGCTGGGGCCAACGCCACCCTTCTTCGGTTGTGACCCCAAAACCTCGAGACTTGTGAACAGCACCTGCTGTTTAATGCATGGGTAGTGATTCGCTGCACTTATGCTACACATGCTGATACAGACTCAGTTCTGAAATCTTAACGAGTGCAGAATCACAAAAGCTCGTTGCGAGAACTACCTGTGTCGTCCACAGCCGCCAAACTGTGGTGTTGATAAGGGCAATTGAACAGTTTCAACTTGAAGTCCATCCCAACATTCCTCGGATCCCATATCATTGTTGCATAATTGACTTCGCATCCAATTGTATCCCCCTGCACAAAAGTAAGGGTGAGCACACAAGCATGGAGGCTTCAGAATGTTGCCTGAAACTTCGCCCCACATTGGTTCCTAGGTGTGGCTTGAAACGGTAAATGTATTACCTGTGTGATGCACACACATTCAATCAATGGCACAACCACACCACAATTTAAGGACCGAAAGGGGACCACAAAAGGGCTCAAGGGAGAGTATGGTGAGATTCACTTGCATCCAAGATGGAAACAATTCCAAATCTTTGTGGTCTCCAGGCTTACATCGCTGATATGCACCTGAAGTGCCAGCACTTGAAGCCACCCAAGCAGGATATCGCAGTACCTGATTTGTGGCAATGGGCTCCGGCACTTTGGCCAACTTGCACAACGTTTCATGTCCATCTCGGTAATGGGGAAACAGTTTGGATTTGGAGTTACAGCCCTTGAAGATCATCTTCACGTCGTTCAGAGAGTGGCCGGATGCATAAGGCTTCAATGCACGTCGTGCAGCCTGCAATGGTACACAAGTTGAATTTTTAACAAATACTGTCTCCTTGTCACCTGCTGCTCTTTTGTTCGGTATCTCAGACCATGACTGTGTCAACAGTAAGGGACAAAGTGGGAGGTTACAACAATTCTACACCAAACGGGCAAGTGTCACTGACAGTGATGTATTCAACACGTGTGTAAAACAACCAAAACCATGCACAGCATAGGGCTGCACCTGGATCCACCAAGGGCCACACATGAGTAACATGGCAGACAGCATGTTACTTGCAAACTACTGAGTCAGGAAACGAATTCAGTCCCTTGAGACTGCAGCGATCAATGCATCAATGGGGTGTCAAATGGCCGCCTTGCAGGTTCCGGCATCTTCTGGATCCAAGAATCGTATAATAGCAAAGATCTGAGGAGTTGCGGGTTTTGTGTCTAACATATTTACCTGCACTTGTTTAGCATCAGGGGTCATGCATTCAGAAAGTCTGCCTACTTTGTTGCAGTGCTGCAACTCACCCTGCGGATCAATTCACAGGCCTGCTTGCCTCCGTTGAGAACGCTCTTCTCCAGTGGAAGGAGGAATGGAGTGCCAAAGAATGCATCACCACACTCAAGCGCGCCATCCTCCTTTCTAACGTTTGGGTTTTCATGACGAACCAACACATACCCCTTGGCTTCATCCACCGGCACTTGGAAAGCAATAAAACCCGGGCTGGCACCTGCAGGGCCATGCGAACAAACAGATTAGCAACCGCTGCAATGCATTATGCCCTTGCCACAGGTGCCTAACAGCACGGCGACGAACTGCTCATGTAGCTGATACTGAGCCACTGCAACGACCAACATGTGCTGGAATTGAGTATGACAAATCATATCCAAGGCTCATGGCGTATATGGCATGTCCCCAACGTATCCCCCAACTGAATGTGCATAATGATCTGCAAAAAGGGTCTTCTGATCCACTGATTGTTAAGCAAACAGAATCGAATAAGTACCCTCCTTCTCACTACAGCACAGTGCCACCAATAGTTATTTGAGAAGGCTCGATCGATATACTCATAGTATGTTTGCTACCACGCTGCCTGACTGGCCTTTTTGTGTATTAATATCAAATCAGCATATGTCACATCCATTCTGATGCACAGGAACAACCAACTTGGTCCCTTTAGTCATGCAAAGGAGAAAACGATTTGATGCAATCTTTTCAGAGGAGGGTGTGCTCCACATTGTGGCTATGTAGCCAGGATTCTGAAATACAAGTAAGAACAGTGCACTCAGGGGGAAGCTACCATGATGCAAATCAGAAAATGGCCACTGTCCTGTTTCGGCAAAATTTGATGTTACAAAGCTCATGGTCTCACATTTTACATCATTTCATATGGCTTTCAGTCCAATGTGGTGTAAATTCAGAGGTCGAGATTCACGGTTGTGGAGATGTCGCAGCACACGATGGTGAAGACAACAGCAGACATTCTATTGAGATTTTGGAAAAATGCTGGAATTGATATCCGAATTAAATTCAAATGCAGCAATTAAAAAATTTGCTTCCATCCTCCTGCCTGTTTGCTCCAAATGCAGCTCCATCGATGAATCGCTGAATAGGCAGCCTGAACTCACACTATACAGCCAAAGGGTTTCGTCCGCTCTCAGTCCAGTGTCATGCTGCTGTTGTAGCGCCCATGCCACTTCAGCTGCAGTACTCTTGAGCGGCACTTTCACGCCATAGGAGACAGCAGGTGTCCGGCCATCAGCGTACACCACAGTCACCTTCACTGCAACATCTGCTGGCACATCGATTCGAAACTCAGGTGGGCTTGGCAGGGGCAGCAGTTCCAGCTGCTTTTCTCTCAGCAGGTGCCAAACTGTGAGCTTGCCACTGTGCCTTGCCAACATATCCCCATATGATTGGATTTTGGTTCCGTCCGCATACCAAACCTTTCTTGCCATGTGTTCGATTGAGAGTTCACCAGAAATCTGCAAAACAAATGCAAACTATGCCAGTTAATTCAAATGAACAAAAAGCAAACAATGTACTGCTCAAGATCCTGGGTTGCTGCCAAACAGATGAAACCAGCCAGTCTGAAAGTGGTGGGCTCTACCCATGTGCTGGGTGAACTACCAGTGTAGGAGTTAACAAGCTAATAGTGGCTTAGTGAATTAATAAATGATTCAGTAGTATATCACATCAAGGGAGCCTCCCTTTCGATGCCAAATACTCTCAACCCTCATCAAACCAGAGGTGTCTGCATGCTAACTCACAGCAACAGATAATCTCTGTGGTCAGTTGTTGGCAGCGTTTGTTTGAGGCACCTCGATTCACACCTTTCCTCACTGCAGTTTATACTGGATGGTTCCCATCCACAACTTTGCTTCAAGTATTCCAATAGGATAGAATGTGAAAGCACAAAATGTGGGCCACTTGGACAGTGAACCCAACAGCTTGACAAATGATGGGGCAGTAATGTAATTTGGGATGCTACAATCAAATGAGGATCCCTGCCAGCTGAAGGTGTCGTTCCATCAGCAACGCTGCCACAACGTGTGACGACTGAAACAAACTAGAAGGTCATAGTGCCAGTAGAAAAGGAGGGCCCGTTGTGGTTTCTAAATGGCAATAACTGCATGGCATGGCCCCATTCTTGCCTGCTTGTTCTTATGAGAGGGTAGGGGGGAAAGAAACAACATTAACCGCCACCTCGGAAGCACATACACGAGCTTACACTTTCCTTCCATGAAGCAACGCATGATGCAACATGATGCAACGCCTGCATCAGAGTCCACCATGACTGCACACGTGCAACAGACCATTTTTGTTTCACTCAGAGACTTCAATAACCCTTTCTACACTATGGAAAAGTCCCCACGAAATTCTTGCCCTGTATGGGTGTTGCCAATTGTTTGACAGGCCCCCCTCCTGTTCGGTGATTCTGTGAAAAAAGCAATTTTCCACCCACCTTGAAGGGCAGCCTTAACGTTCCCAACTCCACCAACGCCGGGCTGGTTGAGGGGTGCTTGGGTGGTTTCAGCGTCCCCTGGAGACACTCTGTGGTCGGGGCGCCCGTTGGCTCCCCAGGTTCAGCCTTCGGTGCTAAGGGAGGCACATTTTCGGCCTTGATCGCACCGCCCAAATGAGCTCCGGCCGCTGGGCCCAATTCAGGCTCCTGCTTGGGCACTGCAACAGTGGAGGAGTGATGTGGCAGATTCTCCGTATGGTGCGCGGAGGGCAAAGCGCCCAGCGGCTGCCCAGCAGATTGGTTGGCGTCAGCCCCCCCTGGCACAACTTTCGGCCATTCGTGCTTGACGGCCCCGCCCAGGAGCCCCCCGGCCCCGTTGGCGAGTGCAAGCTCCCCATCCTTCGGTCCCTGACTGGCCGCGACCGCGGACACTCCGGCCACGTGGTTGAATGCTCCGAAAGGTGCTCTGACGACTTCCTTCCCTGGGTCCGTCTTGACAAACGGCTCTCTCTTCACTACCGGAAACAGGGGGGGCGCACCGCCATGGAGGGTCTTGAAGCCGAACTTCTTGGCGGCGGCAGGCACCCAGTCTTCGTGACTCCTCGCTGCGTCCAAACGGACACGTGAGCTGTTGCAGGTGCCCGACGAAAAAGCGCGCGAAAATTTTTCGCGCCTATTTTATGCTCCCGCCCCCGCGCCCCGCGCGGGTTGGGATGCCGGTCGGTCCCGAGATCCTGCGGGTAGTTGCTGCCAGCATGTCCTGAGGGCACCGCTCAAGCCTCGCGCGGCACTTCGGCGACAGTCTTTCGGGATGATCCCGCTTTCCGCCCAGCTCCCCTCGCCCTCGGAATTTTCAGAGCCGCCTTCCTCAGCGCGAGCGAGCCCGGCAGCCTCGCCAACGAGGGGCCTGCCCAGGCACTGCATCATTTCCCCATTCTTCCACACCGCGGAATCTTCACCTGCCTCATCTTCCACCTTCACTCGCTTCTGCGCCGGCCGCGCGTCATCATTCTCCAGGCATCTCTTCTGGTCGTGGGGCGTGCGGGCCGCGTCCCATCGCATGGACGAGGGCATCCACGAGACGGGCGGCGCCTTGGAGGCGCCGGGCGCTCGAAAGCGGTCCTCGGGAGCGAGAGCGCTAAGCGAAAGGGGAGGACACAATGGTTGGCGGGAAGCAAGGGGAGAGGCCCTTGGCGCGGTCCCGCCTTGGCGCACCGGGCGAAGGAGGCAGGAAGGAGGCTGACAGCCTGTCCGAATTTGAAATTTGAAAGGATTCTTGCGGTGCGCTGGGGCCCGCGGCGGTACCAGCCAGTGAAACAAGAGCCGGACAGGTGTCTTATGACTTGCGCAGGTACAATAGGGGTCCCTATATAGCGCTCCCCAAATAGCGCCCCCGGCCCCCAATAGCGCCCTCTTTTCTGGCTTGTCACCATTTTGTAGTACTTTATGCAACTTCGGTGCGCAGTGGGACCTCAAGCTACTGTTGCGGACAATGAAACACACCCAAGAGAGGTGTCCAGTAGACGGATGGTGCGGTGGCCGTCCGTTTCTGCAAACTTGGCATATCACGGACAGGCGGACGGCACGTCAAGTGTGTCCGCTGAGGCCCACAGCCTGTGGGGCCCGGGCCCAAGGCCTCCCCGGAAGGCCAGGGAAGTGTGCATTCCATGGCAGATCTCCATCTATGCTCAGTGAAGTTGGCACTACCCGCTTGGGCTCCTTGCCATCAGAATGGAAGGATAGGGAGGGGTGCCCAATGCCGGCGTCTATTCAACAAGTAAATTGCCACAGAGTCCAGAGCTGATAGAGAGCTTGTTGCAAATGAGCATTCCATGGCAGATCTCCATCTATGCTCAGCGAAGTTGGCACTACCCGCTTGGGCTTCTTGCTGTCAGAATGGAAGGATAGGGAGGGGTGCCCAATGCCGGCGTCCATTCAACATGCAAATTGCCGCAAAGTCCAGAGCTGATAGAGAGCTTGTTGCAAATGAGCATTCTGTGCAAGACCTTGCCCTCGCCCCTCAAGTTGAGGGCCTCAAGATTGGTAGGTGGCAATGTTTGGCATCCGAGTCAAGGCCGATTGATATCACTCGCAGGTGCCAATCAAGGCAACCACGGGTGGCGCCATTCAGCACCAAGGGGGAGCAGCAATGGCGGAAGTGAGGCCCATTTGGCCTCTCACTCCCGCCTGTTTGTTGCGACTTCTGTGTCCAATTTTTAATTACCACATAGTCGTTGTTGACCGTTGGCATTCCCCCATGCTGCACCTACTACTCTGGGCTATGCAACTTGCACACAGGGGAGTCCCTGGCTCTGGGTGACCTGCCACATGGGTGGGGAGTGGTGGGGCGCATTTATTATGTGATGTGCCATTTGCAACGATGCAAGCACTCAGATACAAGGACGTCCCACCACTACGTACTAGAGGTGGCCACTCAAAGATGCCATCCGGTCCGTTAAGTCCGGTTCGTTAATTTTTATCAGCTGTCCGTTAAATTTCGTTAAAGAAAAAGGGAGAAAAATTCAGAAAAAAAATCCAAAAAAACCCAAAAAAACCCAAAAAATCACAACAACTGCGGCTAGTTGAAAATCTAGTATGCATAGGTTGAAATAAAATACAAGCATACTCTCTAATAGCGAATTCCATAAACTATAAGTATGACTAAAACCCAAAAATCCCCAAAAAATCCAAAAATCCGTTAATTTTTGGTTAATTTTTGTCTTTTTTCGTTATTTTCCGTTAATTAACGGAGAATTAACGGAAATTAACCTCTGTCCGCTATTAACGGATCCGGGTGGCCACCTCTACTACGTACATGTGTGGTTATCTGTGAGCAAATAGATAGTGCTACACAAGCGTGCCCATCATACAATGTATGGTGAGATTTTAGTTTTGCAATGCACCACAAGATTCATTACATGCTTTGATTACAGTGCTTTGGGTGCCCAACAAATAGTCACCTGATCAACAATAAGTCCAAAAAACTCCACACAAGCAACTCTTGGCTATAGCTCAATAAACATCTCATAGACCAAAATACAAACCCTCTACACGTGGTCCTCTGAAGGTTTGAAGAAATCGTTCAGCCGCGTTTGCACCTTCTTCTTAGCAGTTGTGTTCTTCAAAAACTCTTGCTTAGCCCTGTACCAAAAACCCACTACCACATCCAAACCTGCTTTGGTAGCAAGATCTTCAACGACAACAAATTGACTTGCTATTTTCGGGTACGTAGGCAATTGAAATCGCCCATCTCGCACTTCATGGTGTGCATCATTTGTGTTTTCCACATTTTGCAAAGCCAACTCATCACTCTCTTCAGCTATTTTCTATGACTGTCAGCTCCTCTTTCAACTTATAAAAAGCATCTTCTGCCACTGCTTCTGATATATCCTCGTTATCCTCAATGGACACCCATGCTTCCACACCATCAATAGCTTGAAAAACGTTCACAGTCTTCTTCCCCAATCTCCTGACTTATGGCTGACAAAGCCATGGCTTGCATACCATCAATGATGATGGTGCAATCATCAATTTCACTTCCCAAGGTATCTTGGCCACGTGTCTTGGTACACACATTCCACATTTCTGCAACCATGGGCCTTGGAAGAATGTCAGCTTTCAACCAACATCATGCAATACATTATGTTGTGACGTTGTCCTATGCACTTTTCACAAAGTGAGCAGCCTCAAGTACATGAACATCGTACCCTTCAGCAATGCCTTTTAACCCCTTGGCGATTCTTGACTTTGCTTGTCTCAATTCTAGCTTGTGTGGTAGCACCTTCAAGACTCTTGACAACAAGCTTTGGCAATAATGTGCTTTGAAATCCCGAATAACTCCAACACCCATTGGCTGATGCACAAAGGTGCAATTTGGTGGCAAAGCCATGATATCCACCTTGCACCTTGGGTGGAACATTGTGTCATCATCATGCGCACCCAAATTGTCCATGATCAAAGCAATTCTTGTTGTGGAGGGAAGCCGAGCTGTCACACAAGGGACAAACACCTTCCGAAACCATTCTCGACATGTCCTCTTGTCACTGAGTGTCATGGAGTCTCCATGCCTTCTTTCGATGCATGTAGTAAACTAGATATGGCATCAAGCGAAAGCACCTAGGGTTGACAGCTGCCCCGATAATGGCGATGGGGACTTTGATAGATATATCAATATTAGCACACAACATCATTATCAAACGATCTTTGTTGTGCATGTTTTTTGTGCTACGTGTAGTCTTGCACCCTTCCGCATTGGCGATGTATGTACAATGTGGCATCAGCTTGTAGAATAAGGTTGTTTCACCCATATTGAAGATATGGGCTAGTTCATAATCACTGAGTTTTGCATGCATTTCATTCCTTTGGAGTACAATATCATCAAGTTTACAGAGCCAGCTTCACCACGCAACTTGATTGTTGTGGAAACATATGGGGGTCGAGTGAAGTAAGGTCTTTAGTCATTTACTAAGGCCTGCTAGTGGAAACTGATCTATTATATGGCTTACTTGTGAGTTGTAGATACTCGTAGATCCATTGCATGCTGAATTCCCCTAAGTAATAGTGAAGATATGGCCTTGTGGAGTCCCAGTACTTTAAGGACAGGCCATGGGGGTATAGTGGGCTACGGTGTATCGATATGGGTCGGTTCTGGGGTACGCTGGGAGTGAGTGACGGTTGCACTATGTACTGTATAGTAGATGTCTGATTGTTGTGGGTGATTGGCCCCGGACCGGCCAATCACCGTGCACAAGGGGGAGGTTTGGTCCAACCCCTCGATGTTACCGTTCTGGCTCACCGCCCCGCTCCGCACGGGCCTCACGGCCCGGGGAGCAACCGCCCGCGCACTCCACAGTTCCCGAACAGCCGGACCGCCCAGGCCGCATTCCTGGGACCGTGACAACCGACACGAGCGAACGAGCGCCCCGATTACGCCCGCCTCCCGCGAGGCGGAGGCGTCCGCGCCAAGCATGCGCAGACCACCGGGCGACGGAAGGATCCGAGGGCGCCGACGAAACCACGGCGTTTGGGCCCACGCGCCAAGTGGTTTCGGAGCCAAGGCAATCGGCGGGAGGACGCGAGATTGAAGCATCTGGAAATGAGGAAGCATCGCGGATGGAGCAGCTACCCCGAGCATGAACGAATGAAGCGCCGCGAATGGAAGGACCCCGGCCATCCTTTAGGGCCAAGGGGTGGTGGATTCTGCGACGGAGTTTCGGCGCCGATGGAGCTCGGGGGAAGGAGCGCCGCGGGATGAACGCGGCGGGAGGCAAAGGTGGAGATCAAGAGATGCAAGGCGATGCAACGCCAATTCGGTGCAACAAACGGCATGGAGGACGTGGCGAAGGAATGCCAAGGCGCTGGAAAGGCGAAGGGTCGCCGATCTTGAAAAGGTAGAGCGCCATTTCGATGGCGCCGGCAAGTGAGAGAATGGAGCAACGGCTCCCCACGGAAAATGCGCCGGCGGCAAGCGATGGTGCCGTTTGAATTGCGGGTGTCGAACTTGCAAGCGAGGGGCAAGGCCGGTGGAAGGCCGAGCGAGTGAAAGCGACCGAGATTGGGCACCCCCGAACGGTGGGATGGGGGGGTGCAGGTCGTTGGTTTTGGA